TAATATATTTTAAATATTTAAATGTTAATTATGGTAATATTTTAATATTTAATAGGAATTTTATTGTGATTAGACTGACAAGATTTAAACAAATATATATTTATCACAATATGACGCAACTTTATCATCTCATAAAGAATTTATATTATATATCAACGATTAATGGCTCGATCCAAAGCAGTTCGGTTATTTTGTTATTTAGCTGGTTACTTGTGTAAGACAAACAGATAATTACGCTGTTACGAAGGTAAATGCGTTTCAACAGACCAACCCGACATCCTAGAATTTCTGCCAAATGTAAAAAAAGGGGGGGGGGTTCGATATGTTGTCACAACAATTCTGCACAAAGACGAAGCCCGATCGTGGGATACATTCTTATATAATTACAGTAACGGAAGTAATAAGTGAGGACAGACAACCTGGCTAATTGGTTGATTGGCCCGTTAGTCTTTTAATCGACGTGAAAAGTTATTAAAAACCCTTTAAAACCCGTGGTAACAATATTTCTGCGTTTTTTTTCTTACAAAGCGTATTTTCATATTATTCTCAGAGTAAACAGCGGTTATTTCCTTATGCAGCATTAACCAACTGATCGAAATCTGCGACGTAAATCAGTGATTACACAGGGAGTTATCTGTTTGAAAACCTAATATGGATTTATCAGTATCACTGAAACACACTTTAACTTAATTTAATTAAAATATAAAAGCGTTACACAAGTAGTTATTTGACATGCGTATTAAACTTAATAATTTACGAGGCCGTAATTCGAGGACTCAGTCGGACCGCATAAGACATCGAAGAGGACCGCTGAGTTCGACATGCCTGTTGTTGGGTCGGTAGTGCCCAGATAAAACTCACCACGTCGATGAGCTGAGACAGTTTGAGCTTGATCTCGACAGTGAGGGCGTCGCTCACGTTGATAACCGGGCGAACCAGTTTGTTGTAATTACTGAGCAGGTCGTCGTAGAGACGCTTGGCGTCGGGGTTGCCAGTGCAACCTGAAAGCATTTGCGATTCTGCGTATGTGATTGGCCTTCTGACAGGTGCAAATCTTTTGTTGAAAAAAACTAAACACACCACGACCAGGTAAAATCCCCCTTTAGGTTCTCACGGCAACGAAAATGAAGATGGAAGGGCTAATCACCCTGAAGATGGAGGCAACGTCGGTAAAATTCTACCAGACTACACCAACAACCCAGAAGACAGTCATTACGGGATGTTGCGCCGTGTAGTCTGATAGAAACTGTTCGACGTTTCAGAGATGTCTGCTGACTCCGTTATCAAGGTGATTCGCTAAACATTCCGTATGACAGCCATGTTCAAAATTCCCCTAGAATTTTGTTCAATATTTATTATAAGAATGGAACAAAACCTATTGTCAATGTTGATATTCTGGGTTCTAACACAGTGCTAACTTGCAATTAGATACCAACGTTTCAGAAGAACATACTGCCTCGATCTTCGGACCTGACGATGAAGAAGTGTGTATCTCTGAAACGTTTGTATCTACTTACGAAGTCAACACGGTGTCACACCCAAACGGACTGACGACACAGACCTCGTATCTCATGCAAAGTACCTCTACTCTGAGACCATCTAAGTACCGGGTCAGGGACGAAGTCCCCCCCCCCCCGACTTAGGACCGAGGGGTGCTGCTTGGTCAGGGCTGTCGCACGTGGAGTAGAAGTTTCAGAACTGACCGGTAGCAAACATTACCAGAAAGTAATCTGCTCGTAACTTTCTCGTGAATTGCAATTTTTATTTTGTTAAAATTAGCCGCATTTTCGAAAGCACGCTAACCACAAGATGTAACAGGATTTTATTTCCACGTAATTTCTAAAATTGAAGTTACCAGCTCGCGTGAAAGTTGGTACCTCCAGGCTGGCAAATGGCTGGCAGCTACGAAATATTGGACAAACTCCAATGACATTGATTTTGTAGGGAGAAATATCGTGTTTAAGCACAGCACTGAACAAGTAATGGACATCATTCTTCCATTGTTTCGCACTTCCGACGTGGAGTAGGTTACATGGGAGCATCGATCAGTCGGCCCACTGAGGCAGATATGTAGTTTTTGTCCATGTTTATGATACAGTGTCACTCATCCTGAGACTGCTGATGTTTAGCGGCGCCTGGTAGCCCTGTAACCCGACTGACAAAATCATTGATGCGTTTAATCAGTGCTTTACGTGAAGCTTCAGATTCGTAGCCAATCGATTATCATTTGACTGGCTGCAACGTCCAGGATAAATTCACATACAATTTTAGTCCGAAAGCCTGGAGGGATATACAGTATTAAAATAGATCTTAGCGAAATTTGGTAAAGGTATGGGATAAATTAGTGTCGCCCTGATAACTCAGTAACTCGGACGTAAGTGTAGGGTAGGTGAGACGTACACTAAGTACGTCTTCCCCATTCATTTCCTTAGGGCAGGGGTGGCCAACCCGCGGCCCGCGGGCCGCATGTGGCCCGCCTTGAACATTTTTCCGGCCCGCGAGATTCATCACACTTTTACAAAATATATTTATTTTATAATGGCCAAAGTAGTGAAAACCAATGTATTAAAAAAATACATTATTTGTGCATCCATATATTCAAAAATTATCTGTCGAAATTATGAGAAAAAATTAACTTTGTGGCCCGCGGAGTTATGATGCATTTCCAAAGGGGCCCGAAAGATCATTTGGGTTGGCCACCCCTGCCTTAGGGTCTTCTAACATTGTCACGATCACCGCTGTATTTTGTACATATGAATCGTCAAACATTTACGAGATCCCATTACAGACCCTGGAATTCGAAAAAAAAATCATTTACATCAATTAATACTCGTTTTACAGGGGAAATCGAATTATTGTAAGCCCTCCTTAACGCGCGCACTCTGTCACACGCGGGTAGTATAAGTACCTGATATGAGCAGGAACCACATGAGAGGCAGAAGGTTCCTCATCTTCCGCTCTCTAGACACCTCCTCATGATGACGTCAGCAGCGTCGCATTGGGTTCCGACGTGACGCCCACCGTCCTCGCCACATCCTCCTGGGAACGATAAACTGTGATGACTCTTCGACGGTCAGCCACTAATGCGGGCAAAGCGTCTGGTCTCACATACGCCTGCCGCTTTAAGGGCTTTCTCAGTCTCCCGCTAAGTACCTAGATACGAACTCTAAATTTACCACACCTGCTGCTCGTGAAGAAATATTATCGTCTTAATACGATTCTGTATCGAGCGTGGTGTGTTGGTCTGCCGCGTTCTACGGCTTCAAAGATAGTCCCTCTGAAGTGGCATCAGCTACTGGCTTTAACGATCTACAAGGTTGGAGAGGGAGGATTGGATTTAAGTGGCACTGCGAAAACCTATGATTAAAATAATGGATTACTGGAATCTATTAAAGGTGGCTTTTTTTTTAGTACGTGAACGATTATAAGTTTCTCAAAAATCTGTGTTCTATAAAATTAGTTATGGTCTTACACTCTAGAGCAGTGGTATTCAACCTGGGGTACGCGAAGAAATCTTAGGGAGCACGTGAAATTTTAAAAAAATTATGATAAACACTGAATAATCAGTAATGTAATTTATTTAATTTATTTTAGATGTAGATTATATACTATGTATAACTTGAATTATACACCAACAACTTTGGGGGTACAAAGTTGAAGAGAAATTATATCTGGGGGTACGCGAACAAAAAAGGTTGAATAAAACTGCTCTCGTGTCTAGCAAGTAGAAGTGATCTATAAGAGGGTGTTTCACAGAGGTCGCTGGATTATTCTAGGAGTCATTCCATAATTTAAAAAGCAAGCTGAATTGTTATGAAATTATTCCAAATAAATCAAAAAGTAACGTGCCAAGGAAGGAAAATAATATTTCTAAACAGTGTTCGCTAATGGCGTTACGTAACTAGAGAAACCTCAAAGTGACAATAACCAGGAAACATTGCACTCGTTCTGATGTTCAATTTGAGTCTCCTGTGACAAGAACAACGTCACAGCACAACAAAGTAGTCAAGTTTCAAACTAAGTACGAAGTAATTAATATGATTAGTTTGGTTCGACAAATGTACTTTAAAGACGACATTAACAGACGGGTTCTAAGCTCCGCCCGTTACTCCGAACTTACAACAAAATTGAAATCAATATCTTTTTGTAATTGACAACAAAGGAGAAAAGGCAGCGAATATATCTCCCACAAAGACACGAGATACGACGCGCAGTGGCGTGCAGAACGTCGATATTAAATACATTACAGTGGCGTGTAACATTACAATTGACTGCATAAAACTTGTTTTACATAGATTAGTGGCTTACTGTTGATTTATGGCTAACAATGGCACGTTGAAATATTATTGACAAACAGTACAGAACCGTGCGTGCATATAATAAATATATCATTACAACAAAAATTAGGCCTAAGCTATGTTCTTACAATAAAATAGTTTTACTGATATGAAAATTACAACTGCGTGTAGTAATATCATTTATGATTAATACTGGCGTAAATATATGTTACAGTACTACCAGCTTATACTAGTAAAAAGCAAATAATAAATAATTCCCTGCTTTTTATGGGACACAAAGGCCTATTACTGTGTTCACAAGAGTCGGTCACCGGTTCCTATCCAGTCCAAAACCTTTCACGCGATTAGCGGTTAGAACGCTGGCCTTGTAATCCTGGGGTCTCGGGTTCGATTCCCGGCGGTGCCCGAATTTATAACTTGTGTTGGGCAAGGCCGTGGTCTAGGCAACACGGAGTTTTCCTCCGGGGGCTTCCCCGGTTTCTCCGTGGCATCCCAACAATTACTACATTCACACACAGAAGAAGGCAATGGCAAACCACTTCTGGATCATCTGCCAAGAACGTATATTAACAGGTCCCAGTCCGAGAAAAGGATGGAAGGATCCTGTTCATATGGACCTGTCGTCAGACAGAACACTAAATAAATAAAAAAATTATTCTCCCGTCTGTGGGTAGTTGTACCCAGTAGTCACTTACCTTCAGACTTTCCCACCAAAACTGTGCACCTGATTTTATTTTCATTGTATAAAACATGATAAATCATTCACTGTATGGTAGAAATCAATTACAACTAAAAGATAGTAAGAAAAAGGCATATTTCTGAACATTGTCTGATATTCAACACGTGACTGTTAGAATAAATCTCGTCTGGTCTCGTTTTGATATTTATAATAGATCATTGATCTTTTAACTGACCAGGATAACGAAATGTAAGTTAGAAATAAAAGCAAACGTCCGATGGTGCAGTGAGACGGACGTTTCGGGAGACTCGGTAACATGCAATCCTGTTTGCAATAGCAGAAATAATCAAGGAGTTTTTTTTTTCTTAAACAAACTGAAACTTTGCAGCCCGCGAGTGGATAAGAAGGGCCAAATGTGGCCCCAAGTCTGGAAAAGCTTGAGAACCCCTGGGCTAAACTGTACTGATGAATGAATGAACTGATTGAGGAAAGCATTGGCAAGTGATAGATCCTTCTCAGAGACCATTACCACAAATCCCACCCAGCTCTGGCCTCGTGCCAATTTGGTGGTTTGGCGGAATTAATTTTGCTCTCGTCCGACAGAGGTAACCGAGGCAAAATAATTAGGCAACTCAACGGATGGGATTACATTCTAGGAAGGAAGAGAATTACTTTCCAGTGCTGAGGGTTGGCACTCCTGTTTTGTATTCGGGGGGGGGGGGGGAGCC